CGAATGCATTTTCTTTTTCAGACGAAATTCTATACCATATACGGAACTTCACTGCTTCCGTAAACTCAGCGTGAAACACAGGCCTCATTTAAACTGAAATTTCATGCCATTACTCCGACATTGAAAAAATAATTATCCATGGCCGTGAAGTAAACTTGAAGCGTCTCATCTTCCTCGAGCGTCCATCTAAAGCACTTTCCTGTTTAACGCGCTCAAGGCCATTCTCTTTCATTCTCTCGGTCCATGCGCATGTATAATCAAGTACACAGTAAATACGCGCTTTACGACGTTTGTACAAGCACACGACACAGGTTTCTTATATGTATTATAACTCAAAGCGTCACAGCCCCCAGTGCTTCCGTCTTGTCTCGGATTACCCTAATACACACACGTATTTATACTGGCTTTAATTCATATACAACACACGACACATTCTACGGTACAATACGCGATTCCCGCGCTAAGAAAACACAAGGAGACGAAAAGGATCATACTACTTATCGTGTTATGCGAGCATCGCGTGCGAGCGAGAGTCTCGTAAACTGATACAGAGCTTGAAGCTGTCACGCAGCCTTTCGCACGTTCTCTGTGTAATATATAAGTAACAGCGCAAGGCTGCCGAAATTGCTTTACAAGCACAGCGACGTCGTCTGGACACTCTCTCCCGTTTTACTTGGGTGCCATAATTCGGGAGTAAGAGCTGCGGTGCAAGACTCGCGTATTCTCGAACGTGATAATGCACGGGAGACTTGTTTTTTTTTTTATTTTTGTTTATGAGATTTTTTGTGTATATATAGTTGATTAATCGCTCGCCAGTGGGTTATAAACGCATGCGCAGGCTGAGTTTTTGGTTTCAATCTCAATGGCTTTACAATGGAAAGTAATGATGTGGTTTTGTTTTTTCAATGCAAGAGTTCAAGAAAAAAATAAAGAAAAAATTGGAAATTTATCGTACTTTGATAATTTGAGGTGAAAAATTTTACTTACGGCAAAATATACGATTCATCAGCCAAAAAATAAGAGCACTTTATCAGCCTGTCGAAATACTCTTGACAACAAAAATATTATGACCACTCAATCGCACCATCGTTGTAAGCGCCAAAAGTCAAGGATCACGAAAAGGGCGCATTAAAGAGTCCGTCGCTGGCTCACGTCACGAACGCTCAAACTCCAAAGCCGTCCAATAGCCGCCTTTCTTGAGAGTCGCACTTTCGAGTACACATTGCATGCTACCATTTACACTTTAGCGAACGCCTGTTTATTATTTCGTCAATTCAACTTTGTCATTGAAAAATCCATCACTCACTTATTTGGAATACATCCATGCACGGGCATCGCAAATGTTTGTCACTGTAGGACTTTTTATAAACAACCGACCAATTGCAAACCTATGACATAACCCACACTTACTGGTAAATATTACAATGCGCATTTACTTGCTCTTTCAATTGTTTTCCCGACAACCTTCCGTGCGTTCGCAAATCAATAATATAAACATACGCGCAAAACTGGCGTGCTTTCTATAAATATATATACATTTTTTTTTTTTCATAACGCATAGATAACTTGTAGACACGTATACTTTTAAGGTAACTTCTTCCATGGATTATCACATCGGTGAAAACTATGTACAGTAACCGGCAAAACTCCTTCGGCCAGTCCTTTCCACTGCTCAAGTTCATTGACATCTTCGACCACGAGGTTATTTTACGCGGCATAGCTTATATTATACACCAAGTTTTGGTGTCTCTAAAAAAAATTTTCTCTTTACCTTGTAGTCGTTTATTCGCGAGTACGTCTTGGACAATGTTTTCGTGTGCATCTTTATGTACATACTTTTTTACTTTGCTGTCTGGTACGCGCACAAGGTAAGCAACAGTCTTTCCACCCCCTACCATCCTCTTAACCACTTACTGATTTGCTCGTCGCGTGCTTTTAGGTTATCAAGCAAATAGAGAGAAAGAACCAGGATATGCTAGCGACTGTCGAGAAGAACAAATCGGTGAGTTTTACGATTATGCACTAGTCAGTGGTTCTTTTTCAAAGCAGGAAAATGTTTCTCTTTTGGCGTCTAGAGGCTACATGACATCATCAAGCTAAAGAACAAGCGAAACGAGTACGACGAAGTCGTCGGAAAAGCGGTAAGCTTACAGAAACCAAAACATATTTAATTCGTAACATACTGTTCGGTTTTCAGAAAATAGCCCACAAATTGACGACCTCGCAGCTGGACCACGAGGTAAGTACACCATAAGAGCCTGTACACCATAACCACTCGATCAAAATAACCGTGGAAATTTTTTTTAGATCAAAAAGCTCAACTCGGATCTACTGAACACGATGGACAAGCTCAACGACCTGGAAAGGTTCCTGGCCAAGGTAATCGGTAGAGGGACATGATACCAGCCACCCCGATAATTTTTTAGTAAATTTTAATTTATTTCAGTGGAAATTTTGGAAAAACTGTCCCGAAGGATCGTCAAAGAGAATCGCGGTCATCGAGGGCGAGCTACCCGATGGAGCTGATGTTGCACAGGACTCGCTCGAAAACATTAAAGTACGCTATGCTTTTTTATGCTCACGGGTACAGCACGAGCAAACGCAATCGCAGCGAATACTTACTGTTAACAACTGGCATTTTAGGTGCTCGATCCGTCGTTCCCGCCGTCGCAACCTTTCGAACCGGCTCCGCGGAAATTCGGTGTCTTTGCACGGCCTCCTGGAGGTGTATCGACGATCTCAAAAATTGGATTCAAGTAGCAGAACTTCGGCCAAAAGTTCGTCGATCGAGTTATCCCATCGAGGTGTGCGAGAGTGTATCTATCTCCCCTTCCGTTTGTTAGTTTGGCTGTGTCCGGAAGTGCACAGGTCTTGTCTAGCAGTAGTTGGGCTACTTGTTCGTTCGACCGATTTAACGTGCGAGATAGGAGGGTATAGTCAAGTTATATCCAACTAGACAGCGATAAAATTATTGTGAAACGTTTTGGAAGGGGGAGTGGATGTGGGACATAATGTTGTTATTAGTTAACTATCATTTATAGTTCCTAAAAAAATTGATATTTTGTACTATCCACCGTAGTGTCAAAGCCACCACTGAAGTTCCATATGGGCCGAGGGGATCCATGGATCAATTCACGGTCATCAAAAAAGTACAAGGTTCAAGTTCATAAAAAAAGTATCCCTACAGTATGTTAGCTCGATTTTCTTACAAGATTTATCTTGCATCCGTCAAGTTTTTTGACGTCAATAAAATCTCGAAATGAAACAGCATGATGATACATTTGTAAAAAATTTACTGTCCATTGTAAAAGATAAATTTTTTTTACACTAGCCTTGAAGTTTATATCCTACCTCAAGCTCCATTTTTTCTCTCCATCTTTGAATTCTGATAGTTTCAATCACCTTTTGTAGGAAATCTCAAATTGATGATAATAATTCCTTCATAAAATACGCCATGTATTAATATTTCGTTCATGTGTAAAATCATCGGACTAAGTTAGGTTCTTACTGATGTCTAAATATTCTTGAGATTTCTTTCCTTTTCTGTCTGAAAAAAAATTTCATTGAATAATAGTAGTTTTCCTACGAGTTTGAAAAGTCTCTATTTGCGAACCGAGAGGTTTGCGGCCCGAGCCGAAGGCGAGGGTCGTAACGAGGTTCGTAAAGGAGACTTTTCGAACGAGTTCCGGAAAACTGCTTTTTCGCCCGAGGAAGTACCAGCCTCCCAAAACCACCCGAGTGCGGAAAAATAATTATTATTCATCAGTTTCAAAAACGTCCAACAAAATAATTCAACTAAAAAAAAATGAACAACAGCTTGAAGAATCAACCAATAACAACAGCTTGAAAATGAACCAGAATCGGACCATTGATTTTGTTTATGAATTTTTTGCTGGTCAAGAAAAAAAAGTACAGAGTTACAACAGCGCAAATGACTCGAACATCATACTTTTTTGCTTTGTTGGCTGAAATTTTTATCTCAAGAACTTTGTACCGCTAACACGCCAGTCTCAAAACAAAAAAGGAAATGAGAGCTAAAAGCCAGGTTAGTTACACACACACCATCGATCGATCATTGATTTTCCTAATAGACCAACCATAAAACGAAAAGCGGGTGAACAGTAATCATAACGCCAGTCCACCAACCAAGTATGTTTAAAGCTAAATTCAACGATCCTTCGACCATGTATGGATGTATACATATATGTGTCCATAGTCTATCGAAATTTCAATCGCACGTCGGACGCCTCGCGAACCAGCACGAACCTTTTATGGTACTTTCACTCGGCATGGCGTTACGCTCAAGCTCCCGTCCGATCAGCCTTGTAAAGTTGAACAAAGGGATCGTCAATCGGAGCTGTAGGAGAAAACAAAAAGTAGTGCCTGCCACTCGTTGATTGAGAAAAAAAAGACATCAACTACACTGCGTCTGCAGTGCAGTTCCTATCGTATCGAGATACTTTTCTCGAAGTACCGCAGACGCATGTGGCTGACCTCGGCTGCATGCAGCACTTCTCTCTTTTTTCTCGCGACCCAAGGTAAGCGAGCCAAGTGCGAGAGAAGTGGATGGAGTTTTGTCCGATTGAAAAATCAGTGCCTTATTTTCGCGAGTACTTTCGGTTTCACGACTGGATGCCTTTTTTCAAAAAATCACTTTTCAATGTCACTGATTAAAATTGCTATCTATTTGTTTGCAATGAATAAGATTTCTCCATTCCCGTTTGCAAAAAAAAATCGTAAAACGCGATCGGTGACAATAACTCATCCAACCACGCCCCGAACCCAAACCGCATCGAGCTAAAAACATGCAAGCAACTCGGCAAAGTTAGTAAACACAGGAGGCTCATAATACTATACGTGCTCGGTTTGGGTTCCGCGAGCGAGCGAGCACAACTTTCACTGTACGTAAGCGAGCAAGCGAGTGAGCAGGTCGAAGGCTCCTGAGCTGCACTCGCTGGCGATCCACAGTCATTCAACGTCAGGGTGCTGCTGATACAAGAGGTACACAAGAGGTAGACACTTCTAGCATTCGCACCACGGACAATCAACGAAGAAGTTGAAAAACTCGCGTGTACCTTCCCGGTGAATTTCCGCGCGCGAATGCGAGTGCCGAGTTTTTACCGAGCTGTTGCGCAGCAGATCTGCTAGCGTATAGGCATCTAGAATTTTTCGAGTTGCGCGAGCGTGAAAGTAAAAGTTGTTGCTCTCCGCGCTCGTGGTGCAGCAAAGATTATATACATACCTACGGTGGAGGAAAGTGAAATGCGCCGGGGATGAGATAATAACTCCTTAGATGAATCGAAAATTTTTCGCGGAGCTGCCTCGAGATCTCCAACCAGTGCGATTTTGTCTTTCGCGAGTTTATGTTCTTGATCTGTTACTTGGGAAGGTAATTTTATTTCATTTCATTTAAAGTGAGTATAATTTCAATGATTATCGAGTGTTACGTGTCATACTGCTCATTCGGTTACGTTGATTCGATGCTAAGTATGTACGAGTATAATATGTGTGTTCTGTTAAGAATGGTCGACCCGTAGAGGTGAAAATATTCCTTGGCAGTGCAGCGCAGTGCTCTAGCCTTGGCGTTCTTGCGTGAGAACGGCTTTTTTGTTATTTAAATACAAAGTGCTTGGCTTATACGATGGAAAAATAACTTGACGCGTTGTTTCGAGTGATGTAAGTAAGTGCTCTCGGTATGACGCAAGTGATTTTTGAACCAAAAAGACTTGACAAATATGGGAAATAATTATTTTTTTGTATTTTATACTTGTAAACAGAATTTGTAGTGACACGCAAGTTTTCACTTACGCTGTAGAGTAGAGCACACGCAGGAGCAAGTTGAGATGATTAATTAAAAGTACTTGTACTTCATAGTTTTCACAATCAGGTTTACGTACGAGTTTCTCGGAATTGAAATTATATATCGAAGTCGGGATAAAAAAAAATGTGTATTACGTTGCGTAACGGCCTGTGATTTACGATGTGGACATAGTAAGGAATATAGAAACATCCTTCGTTGACTCATGTGTGGTGTTCTCATATAGATTTCGATTTCATTTGGGGCCTTGATCTGGGTTACTTCAACGCAATTAAGAGTGAGGTGTATTTTAAAGTTTTTTCTTGAAACTTTTGAAACTACGAACTTATCATTTATGTTTTTATCTCGAAATTTAATAAACAATTTCAAACAACTCATCAAGATTATGTATTTGTTTACATCAAAGATATAAAAGTTTCATCACATTAAAAAATACCGAGAAATATCGTTGGGTGCGATCGGCAATTTTTCCGACGTAGCGTAAAAACAAGACCAACAGAGCGTTTTCTAGCAGGCTGGGAAATTTTTACTCTATAACCTCTATAACTATACGACGTGATAGTGAACTATAGTTGCAAAAATTCGTTAGGGTAGGGCATACTTATCGGCAAACTGTAGCTCGATCAATAACCGAGATACCCTGTTTTCTGACGCTATCCAGGCCCCTATCCAATTGACTCACCTACCATTCCGACTTTCCTGAGGGCCGTCTACGATCAGACCGGACAACGCAATTGGTACATATGTATACGTATACTGTTGGTACATGACGTTTGAATGCTCAGTAGCCGCAAATTTAAAAAAGGGCGTGAAAAATCCGATGGGAAGGGAAAAGGGAGTACAAAACCTGAAAATCACTCGATGGCGCAATCGGCGTCTCCTTTTCCGATCCTCAAAAACGCTTGAGGCTTATAAATACGCGCGTAATCCAAACACTGACGTGTGCACAGAGAGAGTCAAGTAGGTATTCATGTGTGTCTGACAGGCCACTTCTGGAAGTCTCCAGAGCGTCCTAAAGTGTCGGCTCGCGTCGTCGCCCGGAGGGAGTGGAAAGTGGAAGTGTGGCGGGAGCCAGACTGGGCTTTTCTGCTGCTCCAGCCAACGTCGCAGATCCGGAATCGCGAGTGGCGTGACGACAACGAGGCTCGCGCTCGCTTGAGTGCTGGGTGCAACGGCTGGGCCCTGCTGCGTGCGGCGCGCCGAGCTCATTCGACGAGGTAACGAGCTGCGTTATACTTTTTTTTTATTTTTCTCTTCATTCTCTCTACTTTCAATTGTGCATCTACTAGGTTTTGGAGGGTTGTAAGTAAGAGATTTGTTTTCTTCGCACGTGCGAGTACGCGATGTGCAAAGTGTGAGAGATTGTTTGATTCTATTAAGGTAGCGGCGTCAGATTTTCTAAAATACAAAAAATCTTTTTTTTTATCAATGTTTTGGAATTTTTTAAATTAAATTTTTGAAACAATTTTTTTTTTCAATTTTATGTGTCACTATAACTTTTTACAATGAAGTTGATGTCCGTGTTAATGACGGATTCGAATCAATCTTGAACTTACGTATTGACGTAATTGATGGTTATTAATACATTATTGCCTCATTCCAGTTCCTTGTAGCATCAATATTATCAAGTTTAATTTTTATAACAGCTACATTTCAAAGAACAACGCCTAATATCTTGAAATAGCTTACTAAAAAAAACTTTTGTAAAATAGAACCGCACATTTCACAAAAAATCATCCTCTGAATCAAAATACCTGAATTTTTATTATACTGGGCAAAAAAAAAATACGTAAACAAAAATAAGATTGCAGCCTTACGTTGCCGAAACAAAATATCTGAATTATTTTTATACTGGCAATTAAAAACACGTAAACAAAAATACGATTGCAGCCATACCTGTCGCGAATGCAAATGCATACTGGCACTTAAATGCGTAAGTAAAAAATAAAGCCTTGTGCTGCCCGGAATGAGGTCAGAGCGATGTCGAACGAGCTCATGAATTAATTTGGACGATGTAACCGGCAGATATACATAGATATTGAGACGCAGAGAACTGCCAGAGGCAAAAATGTTGGACACCGGTACTGTGCGGCTGGTGATACTTCTTGGCATGTTCCTGTACTTTGCCGGCGACTACAACATGCTGATGGGTATAGTCTGGGGTACAGGAGGCGAGGTGAATCACAAGGACTCGGGAGTAAAGGGATTGGCCAAGGGAGTTTCCAAGGATGGAATCAACTTCGATCGGAATTTCTTTGGTGGTGCGAGGAAAGATTACGAGGATGGTGATGGTAAGGCCTTTCTTTGATTTTTGAATTTCCTTACTACAATGATAATTTATGTTTAAGATTTGATTAATTTATAAAAGTACGCTTAGCACAAAAAATTGTTTATCTGTTAGTGATTTATTCACAAAAAACTTTCAAGGTAAAAGTGGCTGCGTAAGAGAACGTTTGACGAATTGTATGTGTATGTTTTGAATGATTGCGTATTTAATCGTTTAGGTTACAAAACAGTATCACGCAAGAACAAAGAAAATTTTCATCATCAGTCAGAAATTTACGTTTGTTTTGTGTTATTGTAAGTATACTTTACTGAATGCGTAGGTAAAAATATATATTCATTAAATATTGTGATTCATTTGCTATCAAAATTACTAGTGATGTATTAAAAATTTTAGTACACCGATGTATATATTTTCAATATTTTTGATGATGATACAAACAAAACATTATAACGAATTTCAAAACAACTAATTGACGTTGATCACTACAGTATGACATAACTTTTTAAACTAATAACAATCGACTTGAATAACAAGTGCATTTCAGGGAGAAGAATGCGGTAATGTATTATTCGAATATAAAGATGATTGAAATGTCAAAAAATTTTCTGACGTAACAAGATCGACAGTATGGATTTTGTGCCATGTGACATAGCGTAGGTATTCAAGTGACGAGTTGTAAAGTACATATAAAATATTTAAAAAATTACTTGTAAAAATTACTAAAATAACATAAATTTATCAAGTTACTAAGGTTCTCATTTTTTTTATTTTTCATGAAAATAAACAACAAAAGTTGCAGCAGAATTTTTTACACACGATTTTTGCTAATATAGTTAAGCAACAGTTCTATCTCAAAATTGTGTTATAACTGTGGAAAAATTAAACAAAAAAAAAGGCTGAGTATGCTTATTTCTTTTATAAATGTTTATCTCTTGACACTCTAGCAATATTAATCATTTTCAATCAGCCAATTGATCAAAATCAAGTTAGTCAAGTACGCCCGTATTATACGAACAACGCAACTCTACATCGTTGGATTAAACAATCAGAGCTTTAGTTTACAGACCGCAATTTACCCCCTTATTAGCGTACCTCACCCGAGACACGACCGCACGAAGCCGACATACACACGCACACAAGTCACTTCCCCCATCAAACTCAGCTCCTACAATATAAGTACGCTACCTGCGCTACTACTGTTACAGCCCCAACATCACAGGCTGAGCTGAAAATCTTCCCTAGCTTCCCTTCGCACCCACCCCAATCTCCTCGTTAATTGAACTTTTAATATTGCACGTGTAATTTTTGCGCATGTGTACGCGTATGCCGCGCACAGCAGCGGCTCGGCGAGCCAAGATGGTGACGACGATCAAGCAGTCCTGCCTGCCGAAGCTCATCTGCGAGCTGACGTCGAGCGGCCAGCAGGACCAGCTCAGCGAAATGGAGCGTGCACTTCTCAACCTAATCAGGTGGGCTTGAATTTTTATCCAAACTCGCGCTCTGGTGAATTAACTTTCGCTGGCTCTCCTCGCTTTCATTTCAGCTCATTCGAAGCTGTCAGCTCCTATTTTTTTTTTTTTTTTTTCTTCACATTGAGGTTAATAGCTACCTCGAGTTTTCGAGGAAATGCTATTGTTCCGCTCTATGATATTGACATTACTTATCCGGAGAAATAAGAGCGCCTTTTACACTTAAGACTTCGAAATGCAGGCTCAGGTGAAATATTAATGACCACTCGGACTCGTTGGGTTCATTATTCGAGACAGTGACAATTTTTTTTTTTTTCCCCTCGTTTATAAATGTCGATGGTACTTTTTGCAACTTATCGGAATATTGATGGCGATGTTTTATGCAGACCCTAATAAACGCGAGGTGTGCAACGTCTCAGTAGATTTACTTGCTGCAGCAATCGATAGAAAATAATTGAGAACTTTATTATTAAACTCAATTGGTGATACTCGATGAATTACTAGCACAGGGAGAGATTGAGTTTATTACTAATATGCCATATTCTTTCCCGACTCGTTAGCTATGCACATATTGGATGTGCTTGTGATTAATACTTTACAGTATTCTTTTGTTAAAATCATGGGCCGCAATTGACATAAAAAACAGCCAAGAACGTTGAGCTACTGTTTTTCAAGTGAGTACGTGTCTACCCAGGGTTTTATAAAACATTTATTAAAAAAAAAAAATCGTGAAGGGAAAACTTTTCACGTCTTCCAAATGAAGTCCAAAATTACTGTGTTAATTGAAACACATCTGTTAGAATATCCAGGACACTGTGAAATATCATTAGCCGTTGTAGAACTACTTCGTTTCTTAATACATATAGATGTACTAGCCAATAGTTCTTTTATTCTGCTTTCCACGAGCGAATAACCTTTGAAACTCGATGCACAAACGTACGCTTTCGACTTAACCGCAAACTCAAATTTGTAGTTTTACTTATCATGCCGTATTATACTTTCACAACTTTCGCTCTGTTTAACTCATACGTGAACTTGTACTAGGTCATTGAATAACAGTTTTTGTATTTTTTATGTATTCACTTTTTTTATAATGTACTTAAAATTTCAATAAGCTTATTTATTTAATTATTTATATGTATACTCATTTCTTTCTTATTCCAACGTCATTCATATTTTTTCAAAATTTCTTTAAAATTTACATTAGATCTCATTCTAGATACCTCTATACGACCTCATTGCTCTCTGTGGTCTACATAAATTTTAAATTCTAAAACTTAATAAGTAATAAACAAAAAAAATATTAAACGACTTGAAACCTTTGTAAAATCATAATACTGTAAAAAAAATTCATCTACATTGACTCTTTACTATCTTCAAACATCTTTCTAATTCCTCACACCATCAAAACGTTCGTTTATTTTTTCAATCAATGTGAGTTACACTTGTTAAACCCTCTGACTAGAAATCCTAGGTGCCGAAGCAACACGAAACACTCAGTATTAGCCGACATTATGCCAAAGCTTTACGAGTTTCGGTTTCCGATCGCACTCTCAACATACGGTAAAACTCTAGTCAGTGCGACCGCACGAGCCAATTCGCCTATTGGATAACACTCAGTTGCTGCCACTACAAACACCACTATACTACTTGGCCATGCCACAGCCATGGGGAAAGGGATGCAGTTTTCGCCTGTACTATTATTAGCAGAGCAAAGTTTGGATTTAGCTGTGGAAACGTACGTTTGTATAGCCGATAATCGAAATCAAGGCACGCACTATGTGTGGCCTGACCAGAGAAACAATACGTGAGAGAAAGACAGGGGTTGCGGATATGCCTGGCCATTTTCATTTATCATCAGGCAATGCTAAATAATGATCACGATTATTTCATGTACACATGCACGTTGCCCATGGAATCACTTGAAAAATAGTCTAATGTGCCGTGTATGGGCTAGCGCGTGCATACATGTTTGACCGTCAATCGACTCTATTGTATCGCGTACACACGCGTCGTATGGTAATGCGATACTTTCACCTAATGAGCGCAAACGACGATAGCACTGTGATTTATTTGAAGCAGGATGGATGGAGTTACCTAAAATTTCCATTTCGTACCTGTGTGGTGATTAAAACTTTTCTATACACGGGTTTTTTCTACTTACTTTTACCAATTGATCCTTAATCACACGATCTACTTAAAACAATGAAGAACCTTATTGTGTGTTAAACACTATCTGGAGTAATTTGCACTCCCTTTGTTTAACTCAACTTGATATACTTGTAGAACATTACGTATTACAATGTGCATTGTATTTTTTTGCAGTATTGTTGCAGATATAATTCAATATTTATTAGTTACCAAACTAGGAATTTTCTTATACTGGAAGTAAGATATCCGTATTGCTATTACAAAATTTAGGAAATAATCTGTTATCCAAGTTAGTTGTTTATTCAACCCAAATCTGACTTCATTTTTTTAAATATTTAAGCCTGTGCAAGCTATTTCGAGTGAACTATTTTTTTACTCATTCGACGAAATTCGCTTTTGCGACTGATTAATATTCTGCGAGCAAAAAATTATTAAGGGAAGGAAGACAAGACAGCCTATTAAAAGCATACTGATATCAGAATCGGGCGCCGAAAACCGGTTAAGAGAAAGTCCCAAAATCGATGGTTACGCGAGCACACGATTATCGAAGCCACTCATGTTCCGTAACGTAATAGCCGGAGCTGTTCCCCCCTTCGTTTTCTCGACCAGATTGTCTCTTCATTATTATTTCGGGATCGCATTACTTAAGTCCGTAATTTTTATCGAGATGTGAATGCCGTAACCGGTAAGGTTATTTGAGCCAGTATTGAGTAACGGTTTTTTTATCGTCAATAGCACAAGTTTGGCACACAATGGATTTTTTTACGAAATAATTTACATAATAATTTCCAATAAAAAATTGCTATTTCAAATTGAAAATTAGCTATATTTATAATGTCTGGCAACTTGATTTTTCCAACAAATGAATAAACTCAGATTCGATTAAAATAATTGAAGCTATTTTTATCACGAAATAACTCACCAGACAGCCCTCTGTTATAGCAAAAACAATAAAGTTTTATAAAATTGTTTTTACCTTGTGTACAAATAAAAAAACGTTTATATTTTTCGCATATTTTTTCTCATAACAGATTCATCACACAAGACAAGAGGTATGGCGAAAGTCAAATCGAAACGGACGGCTTACTTCATTCGTAGAGAGGGATGAGGCAAGGTTATTTGAGACCATTGAGTGTTTGCGCTCTTGTGGAATTATTACCCTGAAAAAAATATCAAGCAAGTTTTATATTTGCATTTTACGCGCGTGTCAATGCTAACGTCAAGCCTCACATTGTTGCGAAAATAGAACGCTGTTTCTAACACGCACACACACACGGCCATGACATAAAGTACGTTCCCTTACATCAGGTGAACTAGCTTTTTGTTATATTTAAGTGTACTAACTAGAAAGTATACATGTATACACTAGACGGACTCGCTTTTTTTTAAGGAGGTTCTACATTCCTCGCCGTAGTAAGGTTATGGAGCGTTTGGTATACCGCTGGACCCTCTCACTCTTGTATGACAACTAGTTCTAAATGTGACTGTACAAGATCTTAAAGATCTTGATCTTGTTCTTAAAAAGTAATGAAAATTTTATTCTTGTCTTGTTCTTGGGATACTCTTGTACACACATTCTCAATATTGTCTATAAATCAACGTCTTGTCGTGAAATCTTGGTTTTATTTTCAAATCTTGAAAGTATCCATCTCTAACAGTAAATAATTTACAATCGTAAAGGAAACATTTTTTGAGATAACAAAAGATTTTTCAAGAAAAAANGCTACTTTGCTCTTAAAAACTGGTTTTTTTTAATTCCTTTTTTGTGTCATCGACTTAAATGTACTTTAGACTATTTAGAAAAATTATTTACTAAGCTTTAATAAAGTTAACTAAGGAATTCTCATATTTCTCCATCGTGTTTAACCATAGGTACTTAAATAACAAAAGATTTTTCAAGAAAAAAATGAAAGGAAGAAAATTTTATAAGTTATTTATACAACAAATCCTTCACTTGTAAAAGTTCAAATTTTCAGTTTAGAATTTATTAAATTATTTAGAGTAAGAGGTTTAGAGTTTGTATTTTTTATATTAGATTTTTCCACTATTTGATGCTGATACGTAATTTATTTACTATTTAATTAATTCATTTAAATAACATTGATAATTTGTAGGAGCCCCTATAGTTTATAAGAATCACTCAACTAACTCTTTGGACAATAAAATGTACATTCATGACGAAATTGATCTCACCGAGATTTCAAAAATAGTTATTTGTGAATTCCCACGAAATTTTGTCATAACTGAAAGTTATTTTCTGAGGGTCAATGTCCCATGGTATAATTCTACTAGAACTGTATATTTACAAATGAATCTAAAAAAATTATTCTACATCACACTCAACCACATAGTAACGGAACCGTAGATAAGCGTATAAGGACACGATATTGTATACTTAAGGCTCGCACTTATTAATGACAATTTTATTCATCAAAAGAAATTGCCGTCTCGAGACTGTAATAACCAATGGTTTTTTACCGGTGAAACTCATTTACAAATGCATATACACTTATTCGAACATACGTGGCTATACATACGTATAAAAGTAAAAGGAGAGTAGAAGAGACCTTGAGATCGCTTGCCGCAACAGCTCATTAACGTTTGTTTGTTTTTTTTTTATTGATCGTCTGTTGTCGTTTAATATATGTAATTGTAATTTCACGGAGGTTCAACGATTCTTTTTTCATGTATATGTGTTTATTAATATATGATATTCACAATGTACTTCGCAGAGATACGAGTCTGAGCACGATGGCAGAGGTGACGTCAAAATTCCACTTTGCGGCTCACATGGGACAACTGATAGCTGGTATCGAGGGCCAGGGTTGCCACAACTTCTATCCATCATGTCCACTTCCTGGTGCCAGCGTTCTTAACCTAATGAAGAAGCTGAGATTGCGTTAGTTTGATGGCTCAGAAAAAAATTGAGATTTTTCTACATATTGATTTCGTCAAGATGCTGAGAATTAGTGGTTTTATGATGAATCCTGAAAAAGTTATTTTTTGAAATTTTATAACCACGCAAATAATTTTGTATGTTGTGCATGCCTCTGTGATATATTTTTTTAATTGTCAAAGAACATTTGATTAAATTGTGCCTGTTTTGGAGCAAATTTTTTTATGCTTGATCATTGTAAATATATTTTTAAACTGTAAATAAAAATTTTAGATTTAGTTTCGAGATAATGTAATTCCGTTCATATTGTCATTTCGATACTAGTCGAAATTCTCTGTGAACTTACATTTTATGGTTATTACTTGTAAACTACATGGAAGTAATTACGAATAAGAATTTCTAATAATAAAAATTAAAAATATATTAGTATTTTTACACATGTAAATACGAAAATTCATTCAGTACAATAAATTGTTGCAAAAAACGATGATTATTGTGTTTTTACGTAAAACATCATTAGTTAAACCTATGTATAATTTTTTGAAAACAATTTTAAGTTCAGAAAGTCATTCTCAAATTTTATGTAGCAATTATTTTTTATTTTCTGTGTACATTGAGAATACTTGCTTTTTGAATCAATGTTTAAGTGTATAGATAAAAGAGTACCTTTTTGAAAGTATTTTGAACTGAACAATAAACTACAATTTAATTAGGCTTAAAAAATGTCAGATTTGTAATAAAAAATAAGCCAATGAAGTCCGAAAAAGCATTTTTTACTTTGTTTTTCTACAATTGGACTAATAAGGTAAGTTTTAAATATAACCTTCACCCTCTACTTCCAACAGTTTAATTAATATTAAGCCTCTACATTCATAAAAAGTTGAGCTTTCATTCAAATACAATTTTTATGCTTATTCATAAAACAAAAATTTGTATGTGCATGATCTGAGTTTAACTGCTGTAATAATATCTTCAATGTGTTAATAGTTACACTTTTTAATAAATTATAATTATTTTTACAAACGAATTTTCTTTGCCTTCGTAAAAATTTTTAGCAACTACCAAGATTAACTTCAACGTTCAATACATAATGCATACGATACGAATGATAAAAATATGGTTGCATAAACGCAGGGGTCTGTCTGCAACGTTTTCAAGCAATCGTAAAGGCACTAGCAGCAACAAGAACTTAAAGATTATTCCGAAATTTTGACTGAAATTCATGCAACCATTTTGGAAAGGACTACTAGTTAAATATTATATTAAATTATGTCAAGGACAATGGTGAGGGTTAAGTAAATATTATTTATAAGCAAGCACACAGGCTTATTGCACAAAACAGTAATAACAGTAACAATCTAGCAACAAATTAAGAAACAGATTTATGAAAGAAAGAATTAGCCAGTATCAAGAAACAATGACATGAGGCTTACAATATGAACTTAATAAACTGTGACCAATCCGACGACAATAGTTAGAGGCACAACGGCTGTTTTCGTCAGGATTAATTTTTAAACGTTGACCTGCTCGATTGGAGCATCAACTTTGATAGCATATTATTTGGAGTCGTAGTTATAGTGGCTAGGTTAACTTTGTAAAAAGACTTGTCATAGATCTCTTATATAAAGCTATAAAACTACAGTGAATAAATTAGAGCTCTTATTTTGAGAGATAAAAAGTAAATTTCATACCATCTGCCTGAAAAATTAAAATTTTTGACCTCCGAGACAAAGCCTAGATAAGTAATGTACTATAAAAGTCTTTGAGAATTTATTCAAATTTACATGAACACTTTTGATAGCCTATACTTTCTCCTCGAAAACATTTCATACAGACATATTGTCATTTTTGTTTTTAATTTCTATATCACAGACTATACTCTGTTAGTTGTTACGATAACAGCAATGTTTAATTTGTAATTCTAAGTTTCATGATAATGTCAGAGAGTTTCTAAATGATCTTAACACTATAAGTAGCCCGAATCTAGGTATGTGCAGCAGTGAGCTACTTTGCTCTTAAAAACTGGTTTTTTTTAATTCCTTTTTTGTGTCATCGACTTAAATGTACTTTAGACTATTTAGAAAAATTATTTACTAAGCTTTAATAAAGTTAACTAAGGAATTCTCATATTTCTCCATCGTGTTTAACCATAGGTACTTAAATTTATTGGTAGAAAATTTTAAAAATTTCAAGGACTCAGAAAGTCTCCGTTTTTATCTTTTGAAACAAAAGCCTTTAGTTTTTTTGATTATCCAAAAGAAATTTACTTTTAACTTGGAAACTTAGGACGAGGGGCTGCGAAAGACTGCAAAAGGTCGAAAAATCATTTGATACTTAATGGTTAAAAAAACTAATGCTGATTTATGACAGTTCAACTAATCATACTTCTAAATTCTTCTTTATTGGTAATCAATTTTCAGTTGGTTAAAATGTTTTACTAGGATATATTTTAACATGTATACATAGAGCATGTTTAATTCAAAAGGATGCATTACTACACAGTACTCTGAGCTTCTTATGTAGCCAATGTTTTGACGTAAGGGTATTTAGTATTCAGAATAAGGTATCCGTACGTGGTAATACTTTCGATGAATTTACACCTTGATCAGTAAGTGAAATCAAACTTCATGATCGGAATACAAAATATGAAATTTTTTTTTACAGAAAATAATGAAATCTGTTACAGTCATGTACGTAAATAATTCTTCTATTTTTATTTAATAAATATCACACCTATAACATTAAAAAATTCAAGAATCTCTACTTTAAGTTTTTTATTATTTCTGAATGAAATGCACGAACACATCCGTAAACTCTTGTACGTGAAAATTCGAAATTACAAATTCCCAGTTGCATAGCACGTCTTCTTCAAGAAAAAACCACCAGCCTTACTCCATACTGTGGAGTATTCCACTCCAAACCATTTAACGAAATCCGAATGGTTATTATTATTATTATTATTATTACTATCAGCAGTCCATCTATTCTGCATATGATAAAAACACAGTCTCAGCACGAATGGCTACCATTGTAACTAGCAACGATCGCCGTTCAACGTTTCGCAAGCCGAAAACTGCGGGAGCGATCGCAACACACCTGTTACATTATACGTACGAACAGCAACCTGCGCTTTTGGAGGGGCAAACGAGACTTTCTCCCAAAGGGGCCCCCCCAGTAGACCTAGGCTCTTGCAGCGTGCCAACATTCAGCCTCGAGTTTTTATCAAAGTAGCAGGAGCAGCAGCACCGGCTGGAGCGCGACTTGGCCATTAGCACAGGTGCGAGAGGACACTAGTGGTAGGTATTGGCATTTTGGTCTTTCGATAGCTATGTTTTGAGATACAGACGCTATGTGGATTATTGTGCATGGTACCACGAGCATATGTGTTACGTGTACGTGAGAGATCGACAAGGTTCTGGCGCCTTTGGAACTGCCAAGAGCCAAGTTCACTTTCTGCGGTTATATAAGCGTGTAGTGATCGGCGTGCGGGAAGTCGAAAGTTGCTGATGCCAAGCGTGTTTTAAGTGTACCGTGAGGCATTTCCTCGAGAACTTTTATTATTGTTTTATGATTTACTGTCTTTTTGCAAGGTAATGTTTAGTTTCATTTTTTTTTTTAATACATCTACAAAAAAAATACCTTTCATTTTTTTTACTTCAACTTTTATTTTTTATTGCTTTTCCACGATTAAACAACATAATACTTCATAAATGTATTCAATAAGTGATTTTTCATCTTTGCATTTATTATAATTTATTTTTATAATTACTTGAAAATAAAGTGATTGGGACGATGCTTGTAGCTCATGAAATTTTGGCTTCGTATCAAGCATTGAGTTAGTAGAGAAATATGAAACTGAAAAAATTTGAAGTTCATTTACTGATATAACAGAGAACTTCATATATTTTCATCCCCTGTCATCAGGCACACTTATTTAATCTATTAAAATGACAAAGACAAATGTATGTCCCTTGAACTACATTAAAGTGATTTAATTAGTATGAATGGGAAGCTACCTAGTCTTCAAATGATGAAAAGCTTCACAATTTATTGTTACAAGTGACACTTTCACCTACAAGAAGAATCCTTATCTGTATCGTTTCAAAAGGTCCTCTCATTCGATATTGCTGGCCCAAGTCTTTTACATGATAAGCACTATCATTAATCAAGCTTATTATTATATCGTAGTAAATAAAGTGAGACTTAATAAAATATTATTATTGTGTTTAATTTATAACTTTTTATGGATTTTTACATTTCTGCGTTGAAAATAATACAATTAATACTACTATTAAAATTATTATTCTTAGATTAATTATCAATAGAATGGATTGAAATTGAGGTAAAAATTACAAAGATGTTTGTAAAAAATCAACTTTCTAGATATAAATATTAATGTGGAAGCAAAAAAAATTTCATATGCATACATTTTAGAATCTTTTTTAAAAAGAAAAACAGTAATCATAAAAAAAAATAAATAAACGTACTAAAAATATT